GGTCAAACAATAGTTTCAGACGCTTTTCTATGTACACTCTTCTAGGTTATATCATAGAATGAGATGCCCCTTAGGTGACCACACGGATGAGATACAAGACTATGAAAATGCAGAACCGGAAGTAAAAAATCATTTGATAGCGTGGGAATCATAATGCTAGAAATGCGAGGAGATGAGATGATCGAGTGAGAAGGCCTCCAGAGCCGGTGGGTGCGAAACCATGCGTAGTCCATGGGCCCGCATGGAAACATGGATTCGCGCACAAGATGCAAGTTACATAAATGGCGAACAGCGAAGCACCAGTCTTCGCTCAGTGGTGTCCGCTCTTTTTAGTGAAGAAGTCAAAGAAACCGCTTAATCGATGTCGTCGCTTTCCTTTGGACGGGGCAGATTCTACCGCTCTGGTTTCAAGCAGTTTGCTGGCCTTTTCCGAGGACGCCGTCGAATGCTTCCGCGACCGCCGTTTCGTATCAGTAGACTTGTCTGGCGCTGTGTCTGGGCCGTCAGAAGTCGTGAAATCGCCTATTTTGTGGCGAGAAGACCCGCCAGCAGTATGAGTTTCCGTCGCGTCAGTGTTGCCTAATTCGTGCGCCGCCGGAAACATGCTATGTCTATTGTGTTGGGTTTCCAGCCCGGAGGCACTTCGCCTATTGGACCGCTCAATAAAAGCGGCGCCAGTGGACCTCGAGCGTTTCGGTAAGCTGGCGTACTTCATCGACCTGGCACGCTCAGAAGGACCCGGCGTTTGCAACGGAAACGTACTCGACGTCGACGATCGATGCGCGATTTTGTTGAGCACCGATCTGTCCAAATATGTATCCCGTTGCTCGGAAAGAAAATCGTCCGGCGGTCTTACGGCCGTTGGAGAGCTCTGTCTGGACACTCCGGGCGAACAAAGTCCTTTCGGATTCAACATTAAAGCCGAGTCATCATATGTGAAACTTTGCGACCAGCCTTCTCTGAATGCCACCCATATTGCAGTCAGTATAATGATTGTCCGAAGACCATCATCCGTTTTGATCACTTCTTGGTCCAGGGGCATGTCCAATTCTGAGGAGTCACTGACCACCGACATCCCACAAGTAGGTGAAAGAGTGGGGTCAGAAGGCATAGAATACTCATCAAACACTTCAAGGACATTGCGAGTCATCGATGCGATGACAGGATGCCGACGGGTATTGCGGTTGATAACACTGAATGTAAAACGTTTGCCGTCCTCGTGCAGGGAACCCCCAGGAGGTGCTGATACACGGCGGCTGCTTTTTGCTCCACGCGAGACCCAACGCAAAACCTGCACCCCATGATCCGTCTGGGCTCTAAACTCATACGACCCATTGGGCAACGGGATCGCCTCCCAGGCCGGACCAGAGCTCAGACATATTTCCGCTCTTCCCTGGGACAAAGCATCCTCCCTGAGAATTTGACAGATCGTCGCAATAACTTCCCGGTTGTCCTGGCTCTCTTCGTCCGAGCTGAGATACTTGTCTGCGATATCTCCTACTGTTCGTTCGTACAAATCGCTTGTCACGACGATCAAATCATTCGGTCCTAGTCCTTTTTTCCCTTTGAAAATTGTAGGGAATTTGCGAGCCAACCGCGGCAGGAAAACTGTTGATGGCAGGACATCCAAGACAGGCAGGGGCCGTGGTGTCTGAGAGACTCTCTGTAGCTGCAGAAGAAGCTTTGGTCGAAATTTCAGCCGCCGATGACGCGCGTGGGCCGCCGGGTGGGCTAATTGGTAGATACTTTTCGGGCGTGACGATTGTTTCCTAACTGAGTGAGCGCGGCTGATGGGAGGCCGATCTGCAACTGGGGCCACTATTGTATAGTTGTCATCGCTGGACGAGATCGATTCAACTTGACTCAGCGGCATCGTACGCAGTGGTGCTTGGTGCGATTGGTTAGTTTCCGTTGGTTTGTATCGATGATATAGGTCCGCCAGTCCCAGAGAGGATAGAGTAGGAAAGGAGATGGTTGGGGAGGGATGTGGTGCTGGACTGGAGAGTCGTGACTCGGATGAAGGTGCGACAAGGTCGTTCTCATGGGCAGCAGCAGCATCCGCCGTCCAGCCAAGGTTGAATAGCATTATTTCATGAGTTCGAAAGACTGCTGTCTACCCACTAAGAGGAACATCGATGGACTAGGGCAGAGGCGAATGCAGGGGTACTTTGTGATGTAATCGCCAAGGATTAATAGATTGTACAAAGTTCAACCCACATAGGCTGAATCTTGTGCTGATCCGGGGTGAGATGAGGGAAGGAGGTCGTTGAATATTTTATTCGGAGGTAATGAAAGATTGAGAATAATGGAAGAGAGAGAGAGAGAGAGAGAGTAGTGAAGATGATATTGTATGACAAAAGTGGGAAGTCGTAAGCTCTTGTGTGACCTGCACAGCAACAGTAAGGATAAATTGTCCGCCCCAGTTCTGAGGCTGAGCTGTGGAGTGTGGAAGTATCGGAGGAAAACGAGAGTCAGCGACGATGGACGTGGGGAAGGAAGGAATTATGTTAGAAAATGAGAGACGCAAGAGATTAGAATAGGTGCAGTAATGCAAGGGGAAGAGGCTGAAACTGTCTTAAGAGCATTGGCTGCAAAGTTGAAGGGGAAAGAAAGTCTTGGTATGGAGACTAGTCTGCTGGGTTGACGATGCAGCTGCTGAAGACGATGAGAGATGACCAGAATAGTTACTGTGTACCTCTAAACTAGCTGGAGAGGAAGGCTGCATGATGTGTATAAGTAGGAACGTATGGAGATGGCGGTCAGCGTGAAAGAAAAATTTAGGAATTTGAAGAGGATATCCACATTAGAACCACATGTGTCAAAAGTATCCATTATTACGGAGTATAGTAATCATTATTCTTTTTGCTATCCATGAATCTATCCGAAGAATTGTACACAGTAGACTAAATGCAAATCAGGTTATGGATACCATCAGCCATCAAACTGTACCCGTTCGTCGGATATCGGAACAGGCCAATCCATGGGCGCCAACTCGCATCCGTAACCCAAATCAGTCTAGACGACGATCTTCGGGGCTGAAGGGTAGGAAAAGACCGAGACATGCTTGGTGGAGTCTCTAAGCCATGAAACAAATCTTCACGATCTGACTGCCATACAGTAGATAGTAGCCCGTTAGTCATACTTACACTTTGCCCTGTCAAAGCACGGAGGAACCCTTCAGAACATCGCCGCCGAACAAACGCGATGATCACCCAACATGACATTTTACTACCTAGCACTTACTTGGCAGCAATTAGCTTTCCCAGCATAATTACCTGGTGACATAGCGCCTCAGGAGCTGAAGCTCAAAGCAACTGACGGCTTGCGTCCAATCAGAAACCCGAGCTCGGAATTCGGACGGGTTTTGTCGTTGAGCCGGAGGTGTGGACGTCCGAGTTGCCGGTAAATAATTTTGTAAAGTAAGGGTACGGAGTATGGAACCCTTCCACCAGCTTCCGTCCTTGGCTGACCAAAAACGGTGACAAACTCATCCACGGGACTCAAGTCAAGGTTGGTCCGATTGAAAATGAGGGTGCGAATGCGAGACGACGCCATCCTATGAGATACGGTTCGAACTAGCTACCTGGATGTATCACGTTAGCCCAAACCGTTAGCTTCATGCGACATTGCTCCTCCAGCTAACACTCCCGTAGTGGTACGCGTATACTAGTAATACAACTATACAAGTTCAACACTGAAAAAGAAGATGAATGAACTGGTCAGACGTCTTGATGGTCTGATGGATCCCTGAAAGTGAAAGTCGTGGTGCCACAGCAATCTGGATTTGGCTTGTGAACATGTACTGGACATTGCAGAACAATAATGCTTTGGTGTTACCACGGAGGTACTAGAGAGGTATAGAAGAAAAGAAAAATAATTCCGACTATTTACTAGTTAGAAGGGCAAAACTCCACTCTGTAAAGCATGACTACTGATGAAGGTGAGGTCATTTCTGCATTGGCGCAGTCTACTCCATACAGAGGACAGGTCTGCTCAGGCTACCACTGTTTTCCCAGCAACATCCATATGATGGACCTGTGTTCGTAATTCTTGCAAGTCCTGTCATTCTTTTGCTGGGTATGCGAGGCAGAAGCATTGATTTCACCATTCTGTTGAAATATGTGAAGATCGATTATGACCTAGACTACGGAGCAGCAAGAATCATTCCCATGGTACTGTAGTCGAGTTCGCTGTATTAGCTTTGAATGAGACCCATCTACGGGCACATGGCTATCTGGTTATCAGTAGGTTATCCCACAGCTGACAGCACAAGATAATTATGTTGGATGCTGTGGTTTCCAGACCCGAATTAACCCATAGGGCTGACTAGGGCCAAGGTAAAAATGTGTCAAAAGAATGTCTAGTCAACCAGTGAGCCCTCTTCTTTTTCTATAACTAAGTGATTGAAATGACTCACAAGAGACTCTTCCGGTCAATTTCTATGTGCATTCCGATCTATCAGTAATCTTTAATCTTACTACTACACCTTCAACTAGCTAGTAAAACATGCCTAAATGACTGAAAGGATCGCCACCAAATCGATCGACGTAATGCCAGTATGCCACTAATGAGACCGGGTATGTGTTGAAATCGCGCATTTAGGAAACTAGTTTAAGTTAACTTATTCGCCGCTGCGCTGAATCAGCGGTCGGATTTTTCTAGGTACAATATTGCTTGGTATTAGTATTCTTATGCATCCCGAAGCCGAGCAATCCGACATGCTGGTCCACCTGACTTGACGAATCTTGGCATTGACTGTGGTGCGGACTTTTGATGACTTCTTGGTCCCGCCAGTCGAGAGCTGCCGATTGCTCATTGCTGCATTGCACCTCGGCATGTCAAGGAGCCATTCTAGTGCTCTATTTCGTACGAAGTACGGAGTACAGGCGGCATCCTTTTTCCTTTTCGCTGATTTGATGACCTTGCCACGGTTATCGGTATCCCTCTTGGTTTACATGGGCCCACAGCAAAGAGACAGACCCTGTCTCCATTGAACAGTGATGACTTCGCCGTCTCGACGCGCCGATTCTCAATCGGCATCCTCGCTCGGTCTAACCCTTGTCAATCCCCGCCGCCCTCTCAGGAGCTTATCCATTTTCTTTGGGCTATGGAAAGCTCTCATCTTCCTAGTAGTAGCTTTCTGCCCTGGACTAGGCTATGACACTTCAACAAGTCTACTCCTCTATCCAACCAGAGACGTATCGGACGTTGCTCCATTACACTTTCCCCTTTCACTCAAATTTGCGAGATGGGATTCCATCTACTTCGTTCACGCTGCCGAGCATGGCTATGTTTTTGAACAAGAATGGGCCTTTGGGTATGGTTATACCAGGCTTCTGGCCTTCATTGCGTCTGGTATTTTACAACAATTTCCTTCTAGATTGATAAATGTCCGCCTACCACAAATGCTAATTATGAGTGTTCAGTATTACCTCGATCAGCCAGCTTAGATGAATCCGCCCGAATTGCATCTGTAGCAGTTGTGCTGTCCCACGTCGCTCATTACCTATCAGTCCTGGTTCTATACAGGCTCTCAATCAACATCTTTGGCGGTGACACTGCCAAGCAGAAAACCATTTGCTTTCTCTCCGCTGCTTTGCACATCATCAGTCCCGCGGGTGCATTTCTTTCGGCACCCTATGGGGAAGCTCTGTTTTCCCTTCTCAGCATCTCTGGGTTCTATCTTTACTCGTCATCTGGTCTCGATGATAGTACCAACCAGCGACTTTCAAGGGACTTGAAACTCCTTACAGCTGCTGTACTAATATCAGCAGCCACAGCAGTCCGCAGCAACGGAATTCTTGGTGGGATCTTGTTCGCGTATGATGCTCTTCTACAGCTGCGGCAGATTCTCAGTCGAGGTCCGTCATGGGCGGTTGTCTCGCGCCTTGCGGTCATTGTCCTCGGAGGCTGTGTCATCGCACTGGGAATGGCTGTACCTCAGTACATCGCTTTTAATGCTTTCTGCATGACTCCGAACGCCCCACGTCCATGGTGTGGATGGACCATCCCGAGCATATACCGGTTTGTCCAAGAACAATACTGGTAAGTGAAGTTATACCAGACTGTCCCATGGCCATTGCTCAATCTGTCATACAGGAATGTCGGGTTCTTACGGTATTGGGTCGTATCAAATATCCCTCTATTCCTCTTAGCCCTGCCCATGTTGGCATTGCTTCTTCGGTCAGCTCTCTGGGCATGGAAGCTGCCATCGATCACCAGTAGCTCTTCAAAGAATGCTGCCAGTGCAGCATCAACCAAAGCCACGTGGTTTCTCCCTCGCTTGGCAATCATCCAAGCCCTGCTCGCTGTTCTGGCTTTCACCAGCTATCATGTCCAGATCATTAATCGGTTATCTTCTGGGTATCCATTATGGTATTGGCACCTGGCGGCTCAGCTTATAGGCGAATTTGAAGACTCTCAGCCCACTAATAAGAGCACCAGCATATCTGCAGTTGCTATCCAAGCCATGATGGTCTATGGTTTAATCCAAGCGGTTCTCTTTGGCTCGTTTCTCCCTCCCGCTTGAAGATATTACCTGGCAAAGTCTACTTATTTCGGCTGTGCAGCTCAATGAATCTCACCAGGTTATACTGTTAGCCGATCTATCTAGCATTAAGTGAATTGATCCATAGCATGGGGTAGACAAATGACAAGGGATAGAAGATAAGATGAGGAAAGAAATAGGTACAAGAGTCCACGGTTTTAATCACCTAAACATCCCTGTTTGTGCTCAGAATGTCTGAAACCACCATGCATCAATCCCCAGAGAAATCAATTCGCTCTTATGTCCTACTGACCAGACCATTGTTGTGGGTGTTCCGCTCCTGGTGGCCGAAAATGAAAGTAGCTTTTAGGCTGCGGTGCTGTTACGTAGAATTATGTCATCAGTCGTCGCTCAGGTCGACCGAACTCTCTCAACTGATCTTCAACTTCATTGCTTCGCGTGAGCTCACATTAATATTGACCACCACGCTGCTAATCAAATTAGGCAGCTAATGCTGACGAATTTTTACTTATTAAAAAGAGATCATCTCCGTTTTTATGTTTTTCCTGCTTATTTCCATTCATTCTAAGCTCTGATCGTTGTTCCCGGCCGCCTCGCTGATTTGAGACCGAGATTCACTGAGCTGCCCCATGCGAACAGGACTGGCAGCAGCCTACTGTCTGGTATCGATATCTACAGCTCGATATCCGGTTACAATCTTCATGACTAGTGTACAATAAGCCCTACATTCTCGCTCAACCAGTTTGTTCCATTCGTTTGATAGACGGGATGTGTAACTGACGTCTTTTTGTATCCAGAGCTCATCTGGTCCTCCCACGAATTTGACCCCTACAGCGCAGTAACTGCCGCAAACCCTACGCAACTATGGACACCTCAGGATCCAAGGCGATTCTAACCCAGAATGTCAACCTTCCGCATGAGATCTCCCGAGCCACTTCGCCCGGTGGTGAGCCCGCGGGGATGAATGGGGAGGGCGAGCCTAAAGCCCGTGTCCGTCCTCGCACCTATCCTTACTTCAAATACCTCCCATATCGGACAGAAGACGAAGCTGAGAGGGAACGAAATTTACGAGAGATATTGAATCAGCTCTACATCGCCGTTGAAGCAGGGGATTTCAGTCCCGGCGCGGTCCACTGGACTCGAGAGCTTAGGGGTTGGCTATCACTCAAGTTCGACCCCACTCGTACAGAGCGAATCAATCTGGTCAAGCTATATTATGAGCTCTCCCTGGCCCCCGGGATTGATCCCAATGTTGCCGAACGCTTCGCTAGCATGTTCATGCTACTTACAAAGTGAGCAGATTCTCCCGCGATGTTGCTTAGCTGGGTTCGGGGCGCTGACACAATATGCAGGCGGAAGCATTATCTACGGCCGGTGAAAGATCTCGTCTTAGATTGGAGGCCCTTATACAAAGAATTGAAAGCGTTTGTTTTGCCGACAGAGTCGGGTCTAGTGCATTCGACCAACCTGAAGCGTAACGTTAAGACGCTGACGAAGCTCTGTGCGTTCGTTCAGCTCTACGTTGACCCGTGTGAGCTGCCGGCTATGTTAGAGGAATTTCTCCCTCACTTTTCAACGTCTTTCTCAGAAGGTGCTTTTGTCGTTGTTGGGTTAATCAATCTACTTCTTCCAACCTCCCCGCCTCCCCAGTCCAGAGAAGATCTTCTACCGCAGCATTACCTGCCAACACATTTCCACCTATGGTCGCTCGTCAATCGTTCCAAGACCTTTGATATGACGTTTCTGGACTATCTTTCCCGCTTGGCACGAGATTCCTTGCCGGCGGAGCATATCCCATTTTCCGAATATGGTCTCTTCACCAAGGAGCAGTCAGCACTCATCTTCACTGCCATCCTGAGACTGCTGGAGATTCCTGTGGGGCAATCGACTTCCCCCTACAGTGCTCTGGTAGATATCTCGTCGGGTTTGGGCATCATGCTCGATCGAGATGCTCGAAAGCATCCGGTTGCGCATCACATTGCTAGATGGGTCGTGATGTCACTCTCGCCGGAATGCGCTGAGGCTGAGGAATCCATCCTTACGCAGCTCGAGGGCCTTATTCAGGCCGTGGAAACATTTTTCCATCCTTCCAATTCGGGAGGTTGGACCAAGACATTGTCTCAGCTTGTATACTATCTCTCTGACTTCTTCTTGATGCGGTGGAACCGAGAGCAGAGTGGTGAGATGGAAGTGCCGGTTGGACGCAGATTGACTGAGCCAGTGAAACGCCGTTTTGTGCTCTGCCTGCGCGATGTAGTCTTCATGGGCATATATGCCAAGAGCGGCACCGCAATCAGCTTCTCATTGTCGACTTTGCAGAACCTTGCATACCTAGAACCGCACCTAATTCTTCCGGGAGCCTTACAAAGAATATATCCTTCTTTACAAGGTCTCGTGGAGGTTCATCGCACAGCGTCTTCTCTCCGGGCCCTTCAAGTCCTGTCTCGAATTATTTCGAGGACGAAAGGCTACCGCTGCCATATGACAACCTTGCTTGGACTCGCTCTACCAGGTATCGATGCCAACGACTTGGAGAAGTCTCTTCACGCTCTTTCTTTCATTCAGTCAGCGTGCTACAACATTCCCTTATTTGACCTAACAAAAGGCAGAGAAGACGTCACTTGTGACATGCTGGCTATGCAGTGGATTGCTGGCGAAATGGGACGAATGGAGGCAGAAGGTGTAGAGGTACAGCTGAACTACGACACCGACTTGAGCGATGAGAACGAAGAAATGATCTTGCGCTCATCGACATGCGGCTTTGGAGATTTCATCGTTTCGTTCTTGGGACGTGTTTTCACTCTCCTTGAGAACCTTCCAGACGCGAGCAGAGTGCGGAATGGGTCGCCAGAGGAGAACATCGTGAACACACTTCCTGCAACATTCATGCCTCTACTCTCGTCCCTTTCGCCTGAGTACTTCGACATTGCTTTGTCCAAGGTTGTCGATTTCGTGTCAAACCATGTCATTCACCAGGCACGAGATGCAATGGCTTTTATTTGCAATTCCATTTGCAAAGTGAATCCCGACAAGGCTCTGAAGCGTTTCATTCCGGTGTTGACGCAAGCCATCCGAACTGAAATTGACGACAATGGCGCAGGCTCAACCCGGACGACCGGAACTGATGTTCTCCCGCGGGATCGTGCTCTGGTCTGGAACATCAGCATGCTGAGCATGTGCGTTGTTCACGTTGGAGACGCGGTCCTAGCTCACAGGAAGGAGCTTTTTGATATTGCTGTTTATATGCAGCAAAAATGCAGGGGCATACCCACTGTTCACATCTCGAACTTTATACACCACCTCCTTCTCAACCTTACGGGAACATATACAACCGACTACTTGCTGTACGAGCCTGAGGTCCTCGCCCAGGGAATAACCCCTAAGCTCTGGAGTTATCAACCAGACCCAGATAATCTGACTGTGAAATGGCATGTTCCGAAACGTGAGGAGCTTGAATTTGCTGTCGAGCTTTTCCAAAATCAAGCAGAAACTGCTCTGAAATCGTTGACTGCACTTACCAATGGAACAGCAAGTGTGAAAAGGGATGGTAGCGGCAAAGATTGGTCAGATGAAGTTTCCAGGAATCTTGTCTTACTGCGCCTTATTCTCTCCGGAATCTCTGTTCTTTTCGACAGCAAAGCGGCATCGAAAACGAAAGATGAAGGAGTGGACGGGGTAGCGAAAGATGTCGAAATGTCCGATGCAAAAGACTTCCCAGTCGCAAATGGTATTGGAGACGAGGACCCTGACGCATCACTCGACACCTCTGACGAGGCAACCGTCAGGCCAAGCTTCTCCTACCCTACAGGCTATCCTCTGGAGGAAAATGACGTGCTCTACAGTTGCATTCACGATCTTCGGGAGAGAGCTGGCTGGGTCCTGCACGATGTCCACAGGTTTTTATCGGATAAGCAAGAGGACGATGTACCTTGCTTCGCAGCTCTATACTCGGCTTTCCGGTCTTGGTTCGTTGACGTTGGCATGGAACGGTCTGCGCATGTTCTAGACAGAGTCACGCGCCTTCTTGCGGCCGATATTCATCCTTACAAGATGAGCGGTATCCGGAAAGACTACCCGCGGCCCCTACTGGTACGGAGAGCCAATGTATACCACTTGCAGCGCCTGAGGCACAATGCCGCCCCAAGACAACGGTCTCGCCTTGACGAAATCCTGCTTCTGGATCTCGCCGAGTCGTGCGTCTCACTTTACACGGAGACTCGCCGCAACGCTCAGAGCGCCGGCGAATCTGCTCTCAAGGCTATCTGGGGGTCACGACTTCTTGTCATTCCACCTTTGCTCACGGCCMTACAGAAAGGTATCAAGGAGAATGATCATGCGCGAATTAAAGGTGCATTGTTCTCTCTGCTGCTGAGTAGCGTTGCGAAAACTGTCGGACGTCACTGGAAATATGCCCCCACTCTGATCAGAACTTTCATTGACGCAAGCGCGGTTGATAAACCATCTGTGCAGAAGATCTGTTCTAGTGCAGTTTTCCAAATCATGGACTACGGGCGTGCAATGGAAAGAATGGCCGTGCTTGACAGAGATATTGTGGAAGCAATCGCTCCGAAAGAGGATGTCCAAGACCAAATTACGCAAAAGCGCAAGAGTATCAACAACAAGCGTGCTATTATTGAGAAAAAGAAGGCGGATATGGCCGAGGAACTGGTCAATCTGGCAAGAGTCTCCCACTGGAAGGTCGCTAGCCGAGCAGCCACCATTGTAATCACAATGGGTCTGAGATTTGACTACATCGCAAGCGGCAATCTCATAGAGCTCGTCACTCTAGGGTCCATCGATGACCATCCCGGGCTGCGTGGCATGTACTCTCAGGCTCTCATTGCATTGTTTACTATGATAGATGTCCGAGCGATCTGCGGCCATGACTATAAGAATTATATTTTGGGCAATCAGCACTTCCCATCCAAAATCAAGGTCGCCACCAAGCGCTACGAAGAAGGTTGGACAGAGCAGTACCTGGCAAGCTTCGCCAAGCCAGAGGCCGAATACTATATTGACCA